CGGAGGCTGCCATGCCATGCTGAGCCCTGGGAGCCGGGGCCAGCAGTGCCGGGAATGGGACTTTGAGTTTTGAAGCAAACACTTACCCTGGTGCGGGGCACTCTGGGTGAACTGTGCACCGGCAGGGCTGGTGCTCGAGGGCTGATGCTGACCTGCCCTGGTGCCTGGGAGCACAGTACGGGGAGGCGGGTAACTTATTTTGGCCTCGCACCCAGTAGCGGTGAGCACCGGATCATGGTGGGTATCGAAGTAGGGTCTGCACAGGGGCGCTGGGAGCACCTGGTGGTGAATGACTTTGCATACAGCACTTGAAATAAAATAAAAAGGTGATTGATGAGCTCCTCCGGCTCCTGTGGGAAGCTTCTCCTGTAAGCACAGGGGTCCTGGAGGCATTGCCTGGCCATGGAGAGCCCTGGTCGGGGATGGTGGGGATCTGAGTGTGCAGTAAAGGGGAAGGAGAAGCAGGGAGGGGTGCACAGAGGACTCAGAAGGACAATAAAGGGGGTGGAGGAGAAGGCAATGTGCTCAGAAGGGAGCAAAGGGGATCAGAGGACCCATGCGGCTGGGGACAGAGGGGAGTTGAGCCCCCAGGGAGAGGAGTAGGCTGGAAGAAGAGGGATGTGTGGGGAAGCTGGGGTCAGAGCTTGCCCTGAGGGGAAAGGGAAGATCTGTGCACACAGGAGGGTGCATCTCAGTGCACATGGGGAGGATATGGGAGGATCTTGAACATATGTGGGTTGGGTAATAAAGCCGCCCTTCTCTGTGCTGAGCTCTCAAAGGCTAGTCTAAAGACTTGCAGACATGGTCATGATGAAGTTCCTTGAAGCATCTTGAGCCACTTTAACTGACTGTGAGGCTGTAGGACACTACCACAAGCTGACCCACACTTCTGCATCTAGGGGTGAGGGCGTGCCTAGGTGTAATGTCTGGTCCCACTGTAGAAATCTTTGTGGCTCCTGCCTCACTTATAGGGGTAGGATTTCCCCTAACCCTGTGGGACAGCTGAGCCTAGGCCACCCATGTCTCTTCAGAGGTCTAAACTTGACACCCAAAGCCTGGTGTATGTTCAAAAGAGGTTTGCACCAGAAAGTTCCCATCCTCAAACTAGTAGCTATCATGTGCCTGAGCTCCAGCCCTGTGTAGATGAGAGTAGATGAAACTATTCTGTTAAACTGACATCCTCCAGAGACCAAGTGAATGTACAATAAGAATTTGCATAAAATTGAGGATGTGCCTGCTATGGCTGAGCGGCTGGGTGGAATTTATCTCCATAGCTTAACAAGACAGCTCAGATCTCAGCTTCTGAAACACTTCAGAGGAGCAACTAAGATGCCTGAATACAGCTGTGCAGAGACAAGAGATGCTGCAGATGTGATGCAGGACCCAGGGGGAACTCCTGCCCTTTGTGCTAGAGGCAGGGTGTAGGCTGTCAATCACCTAAAAAAGGTGCAAAGTCCAGCTGGAAGGAGCTCGAGATCATTCTGGCACCTGCTTTTGTCATCCTGATGCCTCTCCTGCTCATTTTGCTGTCCTGCAGCCTCAGCCTTTTCTCTGCCCTCAAAATCAGATTTGCCAAAAGCAGTCTTCTCCACTTGCTCCTTGCACTTTATTGTTGGAAAGTTCTTTGGGACAGCTATGTTCATTCCTAGGCATCCCTAGCCATCCACTGCTATGTCAGTTCAGAAGAATGACACCTCTATGGTGACCCACCTGCAAGCAAAAGGATGGACCTTGCCACTAGAAGGCCTAGAGACAATTTCAGACAGAAGGGAGCTAGCAGCTGCTCACTGATTTGCAGGGGGAGAAGGACAGCACCGAGTCCTTCAAGATAAGGATAAGCCATGTTATGTTTTCAGTTTGCAACAAGCAGAGTGCAGACCTAGCGCAAGTGCTCCTTGCCTGAGAGCCAGCGTGGGTGAAGGAAGAAAGTGTGACATGGTTGCAATCACATGTGAAACCAAATGATCCAATGTGGAAGGGCTGGAGGTCTCTACTGGATTTTGCTGCTTTGTTGCAGGAAACCGCTGAGACAAAAGAAGGAAAATATATCTCTTCTGGTTACTCTCCCACAACTGAGGAACCCGCACTACCCAGCAGCTCCCCTTGGTGCTTCCCATGTGAAGAAAGAGACCCTCTCCCTGGGGCATCACCTGGTGATTTAATTCAGCTGAGAGGTGTCCAGCAGCTCAGGGACCTCATCTGATTTATCCACATTGGGATCTCCTCCCTTAACCCAAAGCTGATGAAAAGTCCAGGGTGTCTCACCTGGCTTTACTTTACCTACTGCCCTGCCTGGCTCCTCCTGGCAGTATCCCAAAAGAACCACCAGCCCCATGGGGTGGTGGTGACCCATCACCATGAGTGAGCAACTACACCGAGGGCAGCCACTGTCTCAGGGATAGGGGGCTCATCCTAGGATCTCCTGGGGAGTATGGGACTCATCCTGGGTTGCAGGGAAGAGTATTCTGGGCTTGCACAAGACTTACTACTGGATGTTTAGAGGAGGAATCAAAGGTGGGGAGGAGAGATCGAGGTGATTTGTGGCAGCGTTGCTTCTCGGGCTGCTTGTGAAAGCTCTCAAGCCCAGGTGGCTATGCTGGTCAGGGTGTGGAGGGGATGGTGGCTGTCCTGGCTGAGGTGTCAGTGGGACTGTGGCCATCTTGGTAGGGCACTGAGGGGGACCATGGCCGCCTCAGAGTTCAGCTGTCCCAGGGAGGGTGGCTGTGGCATGGAGTGGACTGTGGCCATCTTGGTTGGGACTTCAAAGTGACCGTGGTGTCTGGGGCAGGGTATTGAGGGGTTGGGTGCCATCTCAGCCAGGGCATGGGCTCTCTGTTGGGTCCTCTCTGTTGAGGGGACTATGGCCACCTCAGCTGGGGCATTGAGGGGATGACGACTATCTTGACCGAGGCATTGAGGGGACCACGGCCACCTGGGCCGGGGCACTGAGGGGACGCAGGGTGGGG